AGCAGGCTTCCTGTGGAGCAGGGAGCCCAATGCGGGGCTTGATCCCAGGACCCTGGGATCATGACCTGTGCCGAAGGCAGACGCTTAATCACTGAGCTACTCAGATGCCCCAAGCCTTTACCCATTTTGAGTTAATTTTTGTACATGGAATTAGATAGTGGTCCGGCTTAATTCTTTTGCATGTGGCTGTCCAGTCTTCCCAACACCATTTATTGAAAAAACTGTATATTCTTGGTTCCTCTGTCATAAATTAATTGACCACATATGTGGGTTTATTTCAGGTCTCTCTATTCTATTCCAATGATCTATGTGTCTGTTTTCAGGCCTATACCATACTGTTTTGATTATGCTTTGTAATTGAGTTTGAAATCAGAGAATGTGATGTCTCCAGTTTTGTTCTTCTTTCTCAAGATCACTTTGGCTACTGGAGGTCTTTTGTGGTTCCACACAAATTTTAGTTATTTGCTCTAGCTGTGTGAAAAATGCCATTGGAATTTTGACAGGAATTACAGTGAATCTGTAGACTGTTTTAGGTAGTAAGGACATTTTAGCAACATTAATTCTTCCAGATCACAAGCATGGGTATCTTTCCATTTCTTTGTGTCTTTATTTGATCAATGTCATAGTTTTCAGGATACAGGTCTTTGACCTCCTTGGTTAAATTTATTCCTAAGTACTTTTATTCTTTTTGATGCAATTGAAAATGGGACTGCTTTCCTTTTAAAGATTTTATTTATTTATTTGTGAGAGAGAGCGAGTGAGTGCACAAGTAGGGGGAGTGGCAGGCAGAGGGAGAAGAAGGCTCCCCGCTAAGGAAGGAGCCCAATGCAGGACTTGATCCCAGGACCCTGGGACCATGACCTGAGCTGAAGGCAGATGCTTACCTGACTGAGCCACCCAGGTGTCCCTGGGATTGTTTTCTTAATTCCTCTTTCTCATTATGCTTCTCATAATTCATTATTAGTGTATAGGAATGCAACAGAACTGGTAACAGTGGGAACCCTTCCTTGTCTTCTTCCTGATCTTAGAGAAAAAGCTAAAAGCTTTTCACCATTGAGCATGTTAGCTATGGGCTTGTCATATATGGACTTTATTATTGAGGTATGTTCCTTCTATACCAACTAGTTTTATTACAAATGGATGTTGAATTTACCAAATGCTTTTTCTGAGATGATATGATTTTTATCCTTCATTTTGTTAATGTGGTGTGTCACACTGATTGATTTGTAAATGTTAAACCATCCCTGTTATAAATCTCATTTGATCATGGTGTATAATTCTTTTAATGTATTGCTGAATTTGGTTTGCTAATAATTTGCTGAGAATTTCTGCATCTATCCCTGGTGAACCATCAGCTTCACCAGTGATATTGGTCTGTACTTTCCTTTTCTTATGGTATCCTTGTCTGGTTTTGATATCAGGGTAATGCTGGCCTTATAAAGTAAGTTTGGAAATGTTCTCCCCTCTATTTTTTGGAAGAGTTTGAGAAGGATTGGTATTAATTCTTTGAATGTTTGGTAGAATTCATTAGTGAAGCCATCTAGTCCTGGACTTTTACTTGTAGGGCGTTTTTTGATTACTGATTCAATCTGCTTTACTACTAATTGGTCTGTTCAGATTTTCTATTTCTTCCTGATTCAGTCTTGGAAGGCTATGTTTCTAGGAATTTATCCAATTCTTCTAGGTTGTCTAATTTGTTGGTATATAACTGTTCATAGTAGTCTCTAATGATCCTTTGTATTTCTATGGTATCAGTTATAATGTCTCCTTTTTCATTCTGGTAGATAAAATTCCCTAAACACACAAGGAGTTCAACATAATTCATGTATATCAATCATAACCTTGGCAAATGGTAAAGTAAACAACCTGTCAACCCCTGCCCAAGTTTCTTCTGCACAGAGAACTTTTGTAAAGTGTAATCTGATTCAAGACTGCAAAGTTCCAGAACATCATCTCTGGCCTGACTAATCATGGGGTTCTGGGGTTGGAAGAATTTGGGGTGATTCCAGGAGACACAGGCCCTAGTCTGAAGCACTCACCAGAAGCTAAGTGCTTGATGATGAATTTGTGGCAGCGGTTCCAGTGTCCAGCTTTAAATAAATAGAGGGCCTCCAAGTGCTTGTCAGATTCCATGTGTGCTCGAACTGCTTTGGCCTCATTAATCCACTCAGCAGGCACACAAAGCTTCTGGGTCAGGAAAGTCTCCTTAGCCCAAGATTCCGGGGTCTCTAATAGTTGGCAGTGCCGGGTAAGCAGCTCTCGAACCGCCTTCTCACGCATGCTGTAGTCGAAGAAAGACAATGCTGAATACATCCTATCCTCACTGATGGAGAAGGCTGCCTCAGCCAGGGCAGAGTGACCCCTGAGATAGTCTCTCAAACTGCAGGTCTTAACAATGAGTAAACCACTTCAAACTTCACTTAAAAAAAAAAAAAAAAGCCATATCACCATTTATTTTTTAAATAAAATAGAAGTATCTAAGCACATTACAGTTTCATGATCAAAAAACAGTAAAAACTAATACTCTAGGGAAGATTGTCCAGTGCTAAGAAAAGGCTTTCCCTCTTTTTTATTTTATTCCTAGTAACAGGAGATCAAGGACTAGGATAGGAGAATCCTATTCTCCACAGAGTAGTTCTTTGTAGTTCATTTCCAACCTTCTCCCTTCCTCTTCTCCCATATGGTCAGTACAAGTAAATGAATTAGTTTTGAAAGGTAAGGTCTCTTCCAGGTCCTTGTTTGCTTTTTTCCCTTCAAAGCCATCAGCTTTCCTAATTCATTTTCTCTCTGCCTCTAGATTTAGGCTACCCTCTTTTTGGTCTCAAGGCCCCTTAAGGAGAGTCCTTTCCTATCTGGGCCAAAGGACCAGCCATTTATTTATTTTTCTTTTATAAGATGTTATTTAGGGCGCCTGGGTGGCTCAGTTGGTTAAGCGACTGCCTTCGGCTCAGGTCATGATCCTGGAGTCCTGGGATCGAGTCCTGCATCGGGCTCCCTGCTCAGCTGGGGGTCTGCTTCTCCCTCTGACCCTCTTTCCCTCTCGTGCTGTCTCTCATTCTCTCTCTCTCAAATAAATAAATAACATCTTTTAAAAAAATAAAAGATGTTATTTATTTCAGAGGGCGAGAGAGTGGGAGAGAGCCGGGGGGGGGGGATGGGCAGAGGGAGAGGGAGAATCTCAAGCAGCACAGAGCCCAATGCGGGGTTTGACCCCACTACTCTGAGATCATGATCTGAGCCGAAATCAAGAGTCGGACGCTCAACAGACTCAGCCACTCAGGTGCCACAAAGGACCATATTTATTTTTTTGAGGGAGAGCAAGAGAACACAAGCAGGGAGACTGGGAGAGGGAGAGGGAGCAGCAGGCTCCCTGCTGAGCAGGCTCGATCCCACGACCCTCGGATCATGTTCCCACGACCCTGGGATCATGACCTGAGCTAAAGGCAGACGCTTAACTGACTGAGCCACCCAGGCGCTCCCCAAAGGACCAGATTTAAATATCAAATCAAAACTAGTTTCCTTGTCTTAGAATCTTTTCTGAACACCTTTTCAAGGATCTTCTCAAGGCTTTCCACGGACCCCCAATCTCAACTGCTTCGTTTCTAAAATTCTTTATCAGGCGGCACCTGGCTGGGTCAGTCAGAAGAGCAGGGTCCTGAGTTTGAACCCCATGTTGAGTATAGAGATGACATACATACATACATACATAAAAAAACAAAATAAATTGAAAAATTCATTTAAAAAAATCCTTTATCAGAAAATAGGCTTCCCTAGAGCCTACTCTTAAACCATCAGTTATCTTATTAGCCAGCCTTTTACCATGTGAAATTCCCCATGAATTTAAATAAACTCAAAGGGAAGTATAAAGTCATTTTGCTTCCTGGTAAGGGAGAAGAGGAGAAATTCCTTAAACGGAAGGCTGTGCTAGATGCTTTATACTTTTACTCCCTTTAAAAAAAATTTTTTTTTTTTTTTTAAGATTTCATTGATTTGAGAGAGAGAGAGAAAGAGAGAGCTGCGAGAGGGGCAAAGCGGGAGGGAAAAGGTAGAGAATCTCAAGCAGACTGTGCTGAGCACAGAGACCCACATGGGGCTTGATCTCACGATCCTGAGATCATGACCTGAGCTGAAACCAAGAGTCGGATGTTTAACTTACTGAGCCACCCAGGAGCCCCTTAAAAATTTTTTATTAAGTAATCTCTGCCCAATGTGGGGCTCGAACTCACGACCCCAAGATCAAGAGTCACATACTCCACCAACTGAGCCAGCCAGGCACTCCTACTTTTCCTCCTTTAATCCCACAACCACCTTTGACTAGGTAGGCATTAATATTATGATTTTACTGATAAAAAGAAAGTATCTTTAACCAAAAATCAAAGTGAGTAAGCTTTACTCCAGGTCAAAGTGAGTACATGATGGATCTAGAATTAAGGGAGGTCTGACTACAAAACTCAACTTCTTTCCACACTATGTAACATGACAGAGAGTGCAGCATAATGATTAAGAGCACAGACTCTGGGTGTCTTGAGTTGGAAGACTGCCATTTACTAGCCATGTGACCTTGAGCAAAAATTACTTAATCTCTCTGTGTCTTAGGCTGCGCATCTATAAAACAGAGATTGTAAGAGCGCTTATAGGTTCATTACGAGCACTGAGTTGATCAATTACAATTGAGTTGTAAAGTATTTACAACAGTATAAATATATGTAAAAATACTATACGACAAAGTACTATACAAATGTTTTTGTTATTAGTATAGTGCCATGCTACTACCATTAACAAAAAAGGAAGTCTCCAACTTTATCTCATTCACACCATGGAGAAAAGGCTCTTTTAGGATAGAGAGCGAAAACATTAGGCATCTAAGCAAGGATATACTGGTAAATACGATACTATCAAACTTGAGGGGTAGGTGTGGGTGGATGGCAAGGGAAAGCCAGAGAGGGAGAAAGCCAGCAGACAGAAAAAGCAGGGGCCCTCCTTGCCAACTCATTACATCACTCCCTCCACAGATCCACTGAGGCAGCTCAGCAAACATTGTTTCTGCATAATTCCTAACCATGCAACATTCAAGTGAATCTGTGTCTAAGTTAATGGGGTAGCCCCATGTGGATATACCCTTCCCTTTCCTGTTAATTATTTCCTGTTCCTGTCTAGGGTATTCCCTGATCACTGCAGAGATCGCTTCTCACTTCTTAGACTACTGAGAGGTCTTATAATAAATAGCATAATTTGGCACTTAAGGCAGTCTCACTTCCAACTTGTTCACATGAATAAAGAGATAGCTGCGAGTTGAACTGTCCTAAGGTTTATCACAAGGCTGGACCCAAAATACATTCTAGATGCTTACTTACTCAATTAAACCCTAGGAGACTGATGTCATTGGCACTGCCCTGTAGCACTAAATGTATAGTGGGTTGATAGCTTCTTACTCACCTTGAGTTGTCAATGTGCAGGAGGACAAAGATGGCCCACTCCCAGAGCCCCTCACTTTCCAGTTGGCCAGCATAACTGGTCTGTAGCACACCCTCACACTGTTCTGAGAGATGGGTATAGTTAAGAGCCCGCAGCACCTCCCACAAGTGCCAGCTTAGGCGATAGTCCAAAGGATCGGCTGTTATGCTTCGAGGCTCCAGCAGCTGGTTGAGATCATAATGTCTGCAAAGGAAAAAGTGCTGAGAGTTACCATATCAAGGCAGCAGACCACCTGCACTGGACAGGTCAACCGTTCTGGATATGGTTTAGAAGATAATAAAGGCAGGCACCCGAGAAAAGCAGCATTATAGACCACATGGTCTCCCTCTGAGACTGTGCTCTATCAGTCTACTTCTAGGTTCAGCCAGATTACAGATCCTACTAAATATGAAGGCACCTCCTCTTCTGTGGTTGTGTGATCTGATAGGTTTGCTGGTATTTGTTTGGCTTAGATATTTACCATCCTGGTGTACATGGAGTCTTCACAACTCTTAGTCTTCATTCCTTCACTTAACCATTTATTTATTTTTAAAATTTTATTTATTTGAAAGAGTGTATCAGAGTGCATGAGTTAGGGAGGAGTGAGGGGGAGGGAGAAGTAGACCTTTTGCTGAGTGCAGCCTTGATCCCAGGATCCCAGGACCCTGAGATCATGACCTGAGCCGAAGTTCAGATGGTTAGCCGACTGAACCACCCAGGTACCCCGATACTTTTCTTAACCATTAAAAACATGCAGTTATATTAGGATTTTCCAGACTGTTCTATTACATGAAGTTGTTGGAGTGCTAAGTCTCCTGTTTGTTTGAACAGCTCGTCTTCATGATGGTTACTTCCTTCTATGGCTTGTAATCTCTACCTCTGATTTTGTCTACAGTGGGGATTATTCTCTATATAAGGAAATTCAGGTGCCCAGCAAACGTCTGAAAAAATTCAGACTTTTGCTCTTTCTTCTGCAGGCATCCCAAAGATTTTAATGGTCCTGGACCAGTTTATGTGTAAAGTTCTTAGCTTGCAATTCCCTATTAAACTAAGATCTCACACCTGCAAGTTTTAAGGCTTAGATCACCATCCAATAACTTTACCTTTTTACCTAAGATCCCAGACATTTTATAACTTCCTAATACTTGCCCAAGTAATGAACAGAAGTTTTCTTGACCAGTGCTGTCAAACTGAACTTTGTGGGATGATGGAAATGTTCTATAACCTGCCCTGACCAATGATAGCCAATAGCCAGCCACATGTGGCTATTAGACACTTGAAATGTGACTGTGAATGTGTAACTAAATTTAAAAGTTTACTTAAAATAGTCATATCTGAATAGCAGTTATTATGTTGGACAGTGCAGTTCTAGTCTATTTATTTGTATGGGACAGAGTGTGGACTTTATGTAAGGATTTAGTCACAGCAATTCTACCTTTCATGAGAACAAGGTTCACTATCTCCTTGTGGCTCCAGTTTCTCTATTACTGGCACTTTGAGATACTCATTTCTTTTTCTGTTTTTTGACATTAAAAAAACCTGATATACAGTAAACAGAACATATTTAGAATGTACAATTTTCATTAAGTCTTAACATATGTACACACCTGTGAAATTACCACCAAGGTCAAGATAACAAACACACTCATCACCTCCAAAAGTTTCCTTATGACTCTTTGTAATCCCCCTCTTCCTGCCCCTCCTTATACCCACTCTTCCCAGGCAACCACTGATCTGTTTTCTGGGATTAATCAGTTTGCATGTTCCAGAATTTTAGGTAAATTGGAATCATACAATATGTATGTTTCTGGGTACTTTTTTGTCTCACCTCTTTCAAAACCAAGTAAAATTATCTTGTGATTCACTCTGTTATCTTGTGTATCAACAGTTCATTTCCTTTTATTGCTGAGTAGCATTCCATTACATAGATATACCACAATTTGTTTATCTATTCACCTGTTGATAGAAATTTGGCTTGTTTCCAGTTTTGGACCATTACAAACAGCTGTTACAAACATTTGTATATAGATATATGTTTTCATTCTTTTGGGTAAATACCTAGGAGTGGCATGACTGGATCATATGCAGGCAGGTGTATGTCTAACTTTCTAAGCTGCCAAACTGTTTACGAAAGTGCCAATACCATTTTACATTTTTCACCAGCAGTGTATGAGAATTCAAGTTGCTTCCACATCTATCACAACACTTGGTACAGGTTTTTTTTTTTAAAGTAGGTTCCATGCTGGGAGACTCTTGCACTCATGACCCTAAGACCTGAGGTGAGAACAAGAGTCGGAGGCTTAACTGACTGAGCCACACAGGCGCCCTAGGTCTTTTTAATTTCTAATCATATTCTAATAGGTGGACAGTGGTACCCCATGATGGTTTTAATTTGCATTTCCCTGTTGTCTATTGATGCTGAACACTTTTTCATGTGCTTGACATCTAGGTCTTCTTTGGTAAAGCAAATGTTTAAATATTTTGCCCATTTTTTTTTTAAGATTTAATTTATTTATTTGACAGAGAGAGACACAGCGAGAGAGGGAACACAAGCAGGGGGAGTGGGAGAGGGAGAAGCAGGCTTCCTGCCGAGCAGGGAGCCCGATGCAGGGCTCGATCCCAGGACCTTGGGATCATGACCCGAGCCGAAGGCAGCCACTTAACCGACTAAGCCACCCAAGTGTCCCTAAATATTTTGCCCACTTTTAAAATTGGATTGTTTAATTATTATTGAGTTTTAAGAGTTCTTTAAATGTTCTGGGGACACCTGGGTGGCTCTGATTAAGCATCCAACTCTTGATTTCAGCTTAGGTCATGTTCTCAGGGTTGAGAGATCGAGCCCCGTGTCAGGCTCCACGCTTAGCACGGAGTCTGCTTCTTCCTCTCCCACTCCACCTGCCTGCACACTCTCTCTCTCAAATAAATAAAATCTTTTTTTTTTTTTTAAAAGGAGTTCTTTATATGTTCTGGATACAAGGTCTTTATCAGATATATGAATTGCAAGTATCTTCCCCCGATCTGTGGCTTGTCTTTTCATTCTCCTAACAGTTTTTCTTGATTAATAGTTTTTAATTTTTCTGAAGTCCAGTGCACCAATTTCTTCTTCTATAGGTTATTTATTTGGTATCAAAAAAATCTTTGCCTAACTCACAGTTGCAAAGATTTTCCTGTTTGGTTTCTTCTGTTTGTTTTCTGGTTTAAGTTTGAAATTAGGTTTCTGATCCATCTTGAACTGGACAAATAATAGCGATAAGCAATAAAACTAAAAGCTGTAGGTAAAACAATCAAGAAAAAAAAGATAAAGGACACACATTACCAATATCAAGGAGAGAGACAGTTACAGATCATATAGATATTTAAAAAGGATAAGGAAAATGTTATGAATAACTTTATGCCAATAAATTTGATGACTTCAGGGAAACAAATTCCTTAGTAGAAGCAAATGATCGAAAGTGACTCAAGAATAAATAGAAAACCTCAACAGACTAGTAAAGAAATTGACTTTATAGTTTAAAAACTTTAATTGAACTTAAAATGTAAAAGTTCTCTTCATTTTCTTTATTAAGACATTGAAAAAAACAAGCCCTTATACTAGGATAATTGCAATAACATATTTATAATAAAAAATATATATATAATATATATCCAGAATATATAAAGAATTATTGCAACACAAGACAACTCTATTAAAAAATAGGCAAAAAAATATGAACAGTTTTGAAAGGAAGATATAGAAACCATGGTAAATAAGCACATGAAAAAATGCTCAACATCATTAGTCATTCAGGAGTGCAAATTAAAGCACTACTTTATTTATTTTGAGATTTTATTTGACAGAGAGAAACACAGCGAGAGAGGGAACACAAGCAGGGGGAGTGGGAGAGGGAGAAGCAGGCTTCCCTCAGAGCAGGGAGCCCGATGTGGGGCTCGATCCCAGGACCCTGGGATCATGACCTGAGCTGAAGGCAGATGCTTAACGACTGAGCCACCCAGGCGCCCTACTTTAGTTATTTATAGTTTACCACAATACAAAACTGTATTATCTGGGAGTGCCTGGGTGGCTTACTCGGTTGAGATCGAGGCCCCGTGTCCCTCTCCCTCTGCCCCCATCCCCGTCCCCCCCACCGCTTGTGTGCATTCTAATAAATAAAATCTTAAAACAAACAAAAACTATATCATATTCTAACATAGTTACATACTTAATACTTAAAAGTATTTAAATAATTGAAATGAGATAGGAGTGATTAGTTACGACTGGAAAAAATCCCTCAGTGTTTCTGATAATATGTGCAAAAGTTCCGCTGAGATAGTTTTAATTAACTGATTATCTGTAATAATAGAATGGGTTCATATACTGCTGCAGGATAAATAAACCAGTTTCTTGTTTAACAACAACACACACACAATGAGATGCCACTATATGCCCATTAAAATGGCAAAATTTAAAAAACTGACAGTACCAAATTTTGAAGAGGATATGGAACACCTAGAGTTCTAGTGTGAATGTAAAATGATATGAACACTTTTGCACATAAATGTTCATGGCATCTTTATTCATAATAGTCAAAATCAAGAAAACTAACTTTCCATCAATAAATGAAATTATGCAATAAAAAAACCTTCTAATACACATATTAATATGGATAAATCTCAAAACCATTATATGAACGAAAGAAGCTAGGCACAAAATTTCACAGAATGATCCCAATAGAGCACAAAATTAATCTATAGTAACAAAAAGTCAGTTAGTTACTTATTTGGGGGTGTGGACTGATTGCAAAGGGGCATGAGGGAACTTCTGGGGGGTAATGTAATTGATATGTTGATGATGACAGTTACACTATATTATAATGCACACTTCCCTATTTGTAAATTGTATCTTATTAATCACTTTTTAGATTTCTAACCCTAGTTCCAATGTTCTTTGCATTCAACTACTATAAATTATACTTTGTTAATTTATACAAACTTACGGCAATTTGGCTTCACATTAAAGGGAAAAAACTCAGGAAAGGACTCCCTAGGGCTGATTAAGTCCTCAAGTGACTATCATGCATGGCTTTGACTTACCTATCACTGTAGAGTTTTAGAAGATGAAAGCAGACATCTTGAAGCGGTCTCTGTGAGTTTTCTTCCTCCTTTACCACACAGCCAGAGCCCTCCAGGTATGCAGGAAGTGGGGAGCAGGCATACCTGTCAGCCTCAGAGGAATTCTGAAGGGAAGAATTTGATAAAACAGTACACCACCTGCGAGTGTGTTTCACTAGATGTGATCATGTATCAGTGACTTAGACACATGTATTAAGAATGATGACACCCTAATGGAATGTGTCAAGGATCTTATTTTGTGGTGACATGGCCCACCTGTCTTCAAGGGACTATCAAAGACTTTGGATAGCTGTCATTAATCCTCATACCTTTCTTGTCACATTCTTTTTTATTTCTTGTCACAATTCTTATTACACTCAGTTTCTTTAGTGTTCTCTTTCTCCTGAGAATTCTGACAAGTGATATCAAAGATAGTAACTGTGGACAGTAAGGAAAGAACTGAAGAAATGAGGGCTTTAAAAACATTAATAGTGGCGCCTGGGTGGCTCAGTTGGTTAAGCGTCCGACTCTTGGTTTTGGCTCATTATGGTCTTAGGGTTGTGAAACTGAGGCGCGGAGCCTGCTTGGGATTCTCTCTATCCTTCTGACCCTCCCACTACCTCTCGTACTCTCTCTCTCCCTAAAGAAAATAATAAATTAAAAAACTCCAAATTAATAATATTTTTTAAAAAGAGATCTTACTTGGGGCACCTTAGTGGCTCAGTCGGTTAAGCGTCTGCCTTCAGCTCAGGTCATGATCCCAGAGTCCTGGGATCAAGCCCCGCATTGGGCTCCCTGCTTAGTGGGGAGCCTGCTTCTCCCTC